AATAAAACTTGTTCTGTCATCTAATGCGAGGTGATGCCATGCACAACAATCGCGGTCTTTAAATTAAGATCTTGGTTTTGTGAAAGAAAAAAAAAAACACCAATGAAAAACTTACTTAGAAGAGGCTGCTTTCAGTTTTGTTGTGTTGCAAGTTCTTGGTATTTTGAGAGGAAGGTGTCATAGGAACTACACAATGAGAAAACATGAAAAAGTAAAGCAAAAGCAATTAAACGAATGAAATTTTTTATAAAAAAAGTTAGGATTTAATGGAGATAAACTGATTTTGTTGACTTTTATGGTAAGAAGTAAAACATACCCTCCACCACGGCCCAATCGCCTTCCACTTTTATCAAAGGTAAGTCCATGAAAGAAAATCAAGATAAATCATCATCAGATATAATAAGTCTTTGAACTATGAATAATTTCATCTTTGTTGTGAGAAATTACCAGGCAACAGGAGCAGGTCAACAGGTTCATTCGCAAGCATCACTGCAATGACCAGAGCCTTAATAGATTTTATAATAAAAAGCATCAAAGATATTTAAAATGTTTTACAAATTTAACAAGTACTAACCATCTTTACGATCATTCCCATTAGCATCAATTGGAGCTGGCTCTAAAATGTTCATGGAGTTTGCAATTAAATCATCCATACCACAAATATTTAGCATTCGCATGTGGAAATTCTTGTCCTCCACCGTGGAACATAAAGTCTCTTTGTGTTTTGTGTTTCACCATCTTCATTGACAAATAGACAAAAAATTCAACTTCTTATATCAATTCGATTGAGCGATTACATAGAAAAAATATAGGGAATGTTTGGTTCACAGAAAATTCCTTCAGCTTCTTACCATGACGGTTGTAAAACACATAAAATTCCTTCAATAAATCCAAATTTACAAACCCAAGACCCTTAAAAGCCAGTCGGTTGACCTAGAACACTTCTCTAGCACAGAATATGATTTATTTATTTCCAAAAGAAATGCTTACAATGATTGGAGATGTAACGTTGAGAACTCGTTCATATGCCCTGCATAACCTGCATAACCCTCACCATATTCTCGCACATGTTGTCACACTTCCAAGACTAACGTAATCGAAATATCCAAAATTGGAACAGCCATTCGGGTCAGTGGTATTCTCTCACATCAACTCTTTATTTTTATTCTTTTACCTTGATAATATAGGATGAACCTCTTGACCATTTTACATTGGTTCCTCACCGTAGTTCCTTTCGAAGCTCTGTGATTATGGTGTTGAACGACTATTAGGGTTTTCAAAGTGAGAATCGATATAAAGAGAGGTTTCAAGCGAGCATAGAGGAGGAAACTGATTGGGATGAATGATTTCCCACGATTTAGGGTCTCTGGTAAACATGAAATTGAATTTAATTCTCCAATCAAGATTCAAATCGGTTGACGATTACTTTGCTGATTTATTGCCTAAAATATATCAATTCAAATCGGTAGATGATTATTTGTTGATTTATTGGGATAATATCATCTTTTCTAAATTCGGATTTCTGATTCAGAGGGATTACATACGTACAATGAAGGAAGAAAAGTGGAGCTGGAGAGAAGGTAAATTGACACTCCCTGATTTTTCTCCACTGTGAATTGAATCGAACCAAATGGGCAATTTCGGAAATTCACTTACACATTTAAGCAGGAAAAATAGTTTTTGGGGGGCTTAGAGACTGACATGTGGCAAAAATCTACTTATTTATTAGATTAGGGGATTTCGGTGCATCCGTCTATCTATAATTTTGTATCTTAATGCTTATTATGCTTTAACAATATCTTTTTAAAGATTGCACTAATATATCTGGTGATATTTTTAAACTTATATCAACATATTAATATTAAAAAATGACTTCTAGCTCAACGGTATTCGGTGTTGCCCTCCCTCATTAAGATCGAGGGTTCAAGTTCAATTGTGGACATATGTGGAATAATTTAGTATTAATATTAATATTTATCGTTTCAAAAAAAAATATCAACATATTAATTATTTACAAAATTCTTATAAAAAACAAAAATATATATCAATGATGCAATTTTTAAACTTATATCAACATATTAATTATTTATGAAATTCTTATAATTAAAAAAAATAATATTCATTAGTCAATCGGGTCGAACCTATTTTCGTTGTATTACAAAAATACACATTTCTTAACTCGTATATTTTCATATTTTGTCACGTCACGACTACAAATCTTGATTTAGTTGCATAATAATATAAACACGAGCTCCATAAGTACAATATAAACGTAAAATAAAATGTATCTATTATTGTATTTTCAAAGAAAAAAGGGCCCATCTTTATGTAAAGGTGAACACCAAAGTTGTATGGAAGTCTTAGCAAAGAATCAAATTACACATTCACTTTTAAGAAAAGTTCCTAACTTTGCCAATTGTACCATACAATATTTACAGCATCAGGTACAACATGCTGATGCAATGGAAGTATCTCAGCATCTGGAAGGTGCACTACTCCGCTAATGTACACAGTACACCCATAAATTACCAAAAATAACTTGAATGCTTTATATGATAAAATGACTTGTTTGAATTTGATGTTTTGTGCAACATCGACCTTTCATAAGCAAAATTAAACCCCTGCAAAATGCAAATATAAGTGAAGTTTGGAGATGGAGATTCCAACTTAATCGTATCAAATAGTAAATTGCAATAAACTCAATAAATTAATTTATTTATGCATGTCAGTCAAACATGGTCTTAATGGTAAATAAAAATAAAAAAATAATAATAATAAAAAAACAAAAAAAAACAAACGTAATAATCACAAATAAATAGTTAAATGGATTGAATAAGCTAAGACGAACTCAGTCATATTTAAAATATAAGGTTAACCATAGCTACTTATTACAAATTAGAAATATGTTGTGTTTTGCATGGGGATAAAGCATTGTTAAAGTATTAACAAATGTATGATTTTGGAAATGACCAACTTATTTTAGGATGTTTTGTTTTATTTAGTGGATCATGCAATAGATACTTTAAGGTTATATTTATTTGGCATATTACATATTACAGTTAATTCATCTTTTCAGTTTTTTTTAGGTTATTATGTTTAACAAAATAAAAAATAGCTTATAAATTAATTTTTAAAAATATTATTAATAAGCTTATTAAATTTTTCTTAAATCTTCTAAATATACCATTTGTTAATTTTAGAATCACTGAAGCTGTGTATGTCCTTTTTGTGAGGATTATAGAGGTCTTCAAAGATATTTAAGTGTTGTTTGTTT